TTTCGCACATTTCAGTGATTTATATATTTCTTATGAAAATTCGAGACTTAATCAGTTTTAGAAAAATGGTTTTAGAAAAAGAAATCAATATGGTTACTTGTTGGGTTGGCTTGCCTAGTATTGTATAGAGCCATCACGACCGAGGTATTTGGGGTCGTGACAAGTCTCCCCTTGAAAAACAGCTAGCTTTATCCTGAATAGAGTTCCTGCAAAATCTATCTTGAAAAACTTCCTTTGAACTATGGACAACCAGAAAACCTAGATTGAATCATTTTTACATTTTGGGATGTCCAGCTGAAGTTCATATTTATTCACCCAAAAACAACATTAATCCTAAAACTACCAGTTGTTTCTTTATAGGCTATCTTGATCACTCTAAAGGTTTTAGGTTTTCTGTCATGAGCGTGGCACTAGAATCGTTGAGTCTATTAATGCAAAATTTCTTGAGCATGATGTTTGTGATTGTGATTGTTCATGTGGGATGGAAATTGTGTTGAAAGACGAGGAAATCATTGTCCATGTACCTGTTGTACATGAAAAGATGGTAACCAACCTATTCATATAGGGGAGAATGAAGGGAACAATGACGCAGATCCCATGGTCCCTGAGCAAAATGAACTCAATGAACCAATCCGTAGGTCACAAAGAGAAAGAAGATCTACCATCTCTGATGATTTATCATATATGTGACTGAAAATCTTAGTGATACTGGAGAGTTGATTTATCCTTTATCATATGCTCAAGCTATTTTTTCTCCATATGTTGATACATAGCGTGATGAAATGAAAAATTAAATGCGCTCCATGGAACACAATAGAGTGTGGGAGTTAGTTGAATTGCATGTAGGTTTTAGACCTAATGGTTGCAAATGGGTTTTTAAAACTAAAAGAGACTCTAAGGGAAATATAGACCGTTATAAATCAAGGTTGGTTGCTAAGGGTTACACTCAAGAAGAAGGTATTGATTATAAAAATACATTTTCTCTTGTTTCATCTAAGGATGAATTTAGAGTTGTCATGGCTCTTGTGGCTCATTTTGATTTAGAGTTGCACTAGATGGATGTTAAAACTGCTTTCCTGAATGGGAGTCTTCTTGAAGAAGTTTACATGGTTCAACCTTAAGGGTTTAAAGAAGTTGGTGAAGAAAATCTAATATGCAGGCTTAACAAATTTATATATGGGCTTAAACAAGCCTCCGGGCAGTGGTACTTGAAATTCCACGAAATTATTACGATATTTCGAATTGTGGAAAATAATCTTGATGAATGTGCTTATCTCAAATAGCTAATGGCAGTTTTATTATTATGGTTCTCTATGTTGATGACATTTTGCTGGCCACAAATAATTTGGGCTTGATAATGAGATCAAACAATTTTTATATAGGTCTTTTGATACGAAAGATCTTGGTGACGCCTCTTTTGTTCTTAGGATAAAAATTAAAAGGATAGGTCTCGTGGTGTTTTGGGTTTATCACAACGTTCCTATAATGAGAGTTTTCTTAAAACAATTAATATGCAAAATTGCAAATCTGGTGTTGCACCTGTGGTAAAAGGAGACAAACTTAGCAATCATTAATATTGAAATGAAAACTATGAGAGATGTGCCATATGTAAGTGTTTTTGGCTATTTGATGTACATACAGGTTTGTATAAGGCCTGATATATCATTTGTTGTTAATATGTGGGGAAGATTTTCTTCTAGTCCTCGGTGAGCACATTGGGTGGCTGCAAACAAAGTGATGAGATATCTACAACGTTCCAAAGACTTCATGCTTGTGTACAAAACGGTTGATAATCTGGACCTATTTCACGACCCAAACCTCCCTCCGTGAGATGTCGTGACGACACCTAGTCTTTACGACTAGATAAGCCTAATATTTGCGGAAAAAACCAAAATTTGAAAGCAAAACTTTAAAAACCAACAACAATAGATATTTAAATAACTGACAGATATACCGCTCGACAGATACAATAACCAACTCTCGAACTATACATGAAAATTTTCCAAACACCCGGAACACTGTAAGTCACAAGCTTCTAAGAACTTCTAATTGTTCTATACATCAGTGTCTAAAGAAGTAAGGAAAGAATAAATATAATGGGATATAGGGGGACTCCAAGGTCTGCGGACAGACAGATATACCTTGAAGTCTACGGAACAGTAGCAACTGGCCAACTAAAAGCGACACTAGTAGGAGGTACCTGGATCTGCACATAAAAACATATGCAGAACAGTAGCATAAGTACACAACAACGGTATCCAGTAACTGCCAAGCCTAACCTCGATCGAGTAGTGATGAGGTCAAGTCAGGGCCCTACTGGTATATAAATATAAAACAAGGCAGAACAAAATATCGCAGTATAATAAAAGACCGAAGGCCGCGGGATGAATCCAGAAGGTTGTTGGAAAGATTGGACTTGAATTGGAGCAGCTGAAGTTGTTGCTTCTGTCATATCTGCACCTGCGGATTGGGGACCGCAGGTGCGAGAGCAATGCCGCAGATGCGAAAGGTTTGGAACTCAGGCAATGTCGTAGGTGCTCACTAAGGACCACACCTGCGGGACCGCAGATGCAGGTATGGACCGCAGAAGTGGAATTCTCAGGGTTAAGTGAAAACCGCACCTGTCATGGTTTTTCCGCAGGTGCGGCATTGCAGAAGCAACTTGGAGACCGCAGGTGCGGAAATCCCTGGGAAGAAACTATATAAGCATCACTTCGCGAATTTCAGTCATTTATTCACCATTTTTGGTCGAGTTGGAGCTTGGGGACCTCAATTTCAATTGAGAATTTAAGTGTTTTTAGTGAGGTAAGTTACTTGGACTTTGTATCTTTTGTTTATGGTGATTAATTTATTTTTTAATCATGAAATTAGTGGGAAAATTAGAGAAGAAATTGGGAGATTAGGGCTTGAAATTGGAGAGTATAAATTGGGGATTTGAGGAGCCATTTGAGGTCCGATTTTGATGATCTTGGTATGTATAGACTCGTGGGAGGATAAGGATCCTAGTGATGTGATTTTTATTAAATTTCGAGACATAGGCCCGACCAATTTCAGGATTTTTGAGTTAATTTGATAGTTTTCACATGGGCTTTGTTCCTTTGGCATGTATTGATATTATGATTCCGATTTTGGATAGATTCGGGACGATTTGAGGCCCAGTCGAGAAGTAAGGTCATTGCGGAGTAGATTTTCGTCCGGTTTGAGGTAAGTAACGATTGTAAATCAAGACCTGAGGTATGAAACCCCGGAATTCCGTACTGTTTTGATAATGAGGTGACTCACATGCTAGGTGACGGGCGTGTAGGCGTGCACTGGTAAGTATTGTGACTTGGTCCATCCCGTGGCAACTGAAGAGTTGCATATTTAAATAAACTCTATATAAAATATATATCGGGCTGCATGCCACAGCGATATAGTGCTTAGGCTATAGGAGCCCTTCCGGAGCCTGCACACCTCCAGTGAGCGCAGTCGACTATATATATTTACGGATCGGGCTGCACGCCACAACGGTTATTATTATGAGATATCTGTTGAGCGGGAGTGTTGATTGATGAGAATTGAGTCACGAGTGATTGAGAGGCTTGACCGAGGGGCTATATATATATGAGTGATGCTTTGCCCGAGGGGCTTATCTATGAAAAAACTGTTTTCACTCTTCTTTTATACTGAGCCTTTATTGAAAAGAGTTGAACAAATATTTTAAATAACCTTCATTGAAACTGGAGTTTTTACGAGATGTTCGAAAATTAAACTATGAATTTGACTTTGTTATTTCTATTGAGATTCGGTGTTAGATTATGTATAAGATTTAAATTCTCGTCACTGCACTCAACCTTTATTTACTTTTGTTACTTACTGAGTTAGCATACTCACGTTACTCCCTGCACCTTGTGTGCAGATCCAGGTGCCAGAGCACCCGAGTGAGAGCATACAGCAGCTTCTGAGTATTTTTCCAGAGATAGCAAGGTAGTTGCACGGCATTCGCAGGTCTGCCTTGCTCCTTCCTATCCTTAGTATTATATATTTTAGTCTTATCTTGTATTGAGTAAACAATATTGGACTATATTTTAGTGGCTCATGACTAGTGACACCAGGATCAGGTAGTGTTTGATGTATTTGCGCATTTGTTTTCCCCTTATTTTGACATATTAAAAGGAAAGATTTGTGATCATATTTGATTAGAAAATGAATTTACAAAAGACCTTATGTTTTTAGTGTTGAATCAGCTGGCCTAGTACTGTGATAGGTACCATCACGATCGGGGTGGTTGGGGTCGTGACACCCTACTTGTGGGATTTTAATGGATTGTTGGTGTTGTTAGTGTTGTAACTATTTACCCACGGCAATAACTATTTTCCTTTGTTAAGCATATGACAATAATTCCTAAATATTTGTACTACCTGAGATATCCGAAGACTCACTTTTCTTTGCCTTTATTACCATGTTCTTATGTTGCTTGTAAAGTCACAATACTGATATAAAAAATGTATAGGACTCGTTTACAAACCACTAGGGATAATTGAACTGTGTCATGGTCAGGACAGGACCTCGACCTACCCATCAAACTTGTATATATAAAATGAACTCCAAGGTATAGACCTGGTAACTCCGAGAAAATGGAGCTTACGAACCAAGCTAATGTTTGACTTTGTCTACAATGAAGGTCTATCTAGTTGTCTATCAGAACCCGTAGGCATGAAATGCAGCGTCTCCAGCAAAAGGTAGTAGATAGTTGTAAGTTGAAATATACCAACAAGTCCCATAACATAACACGGACCTAATTGAG